CACATGATTATTTTATTAATGGTTCTATAATGCGCTTGAAGGTTAAATTAATTTCTTAATTTAAATATCCTTCCATTCAACATAAGCAATTTTTCCAATTTCCAAGAATTATTTAATTGAGAGTATCCTTTGTTTGATTTCAAAAACTATGTAAGCAAGAGCGTCGATGAACGTGCATCACTTAGCTTATCTGAATTTTGAAATTATTAAGGTCCTAATATCCGGTCATGATAGGCACCGTGTGCTTCACACATTCATGATACATGATTGTGGTATGCAGCGTGTGTTTAACACATGACCATTTTAGAAGACCCACAAAATACTCGCAAAATAAATTATTCTCTTAGGAAATTTTCTTAATTATTTTTCTAGATTTTAAATCATCCAAATAACTGATTTAATTATTAATCTAGATTACCACAATCATAATAATTTCCATAATAATTATTAATCTTGATGTTAATTATCCAAAATTAATTAATTCAATTACTAATCTAGATTTTTAACAAAAATCATAATAATTATTAATTAATTTTTTTGGATAATTTAAAATCAAAATAATCTCATAATAACTATCATATTAGTCGCTGAAGATATAATAGCTACTATGCTCATGTAATCATACAAGTTATGCAACAATATGGAACCACCTATTCTATATGTCATGTTATCGCACTTAAGCATTTTATCAATCACATAATTCATCCAATCATACAATTAAAGCAATTAATTATAATAAAGACCTATCCATGGTTTCCTAAAAATAAAATAAAATTATAGAGTAATCAAATAGGAAACTTTGCGGGTGATTGCTCATTTCCTTATAGTCCCTATGTTCTGTTTCAAGCCTCTTTATGGTAGCCATGGGCCCAAAATACCAACTTCTGGCGAGAAATCCTAAGTCAACATACAGGAACCCTAGCCGTCACGTCCACTGCGCCATACCCGAACTCATCTCAGCACGAAACTCCAGGGGAAGGACCGCCTTGAAGAGACGAGTGCACCGCCGCTGGAACCACCCAAAAAGGTGGTCGGACGCTCACTCACGCTCTCATTCTTTGCCAGAGAGTGGCGGCCACTTGCAGACGCTTGTGGAGGAGCATGGCAGCGCGTGGAGGATAAGATGGCGGCGATTCACCCACCGTTGTGTTCGTCTTTCCGTCCTATTTCCAACCATATATAGATCGCCCCATTCAGAGATCGGGAAGTCCTCGAAAAGTCTCTGACAGTGCTGACTGCGCATCTTCCTCGCGGTTTCTCGATCTAGAACTTTTACAAAATATTGAAAAAATACACAGAAATTCTGAAAATAAATAAAAACAGCAAGGACGAAGCCTAATCATGAAGGATTATCCTCCTTGTTACAACCCAGGAAAATACAATTAAATCTCTACCATGGATTAAAGCCAAAAATCAAATAAAAACATTGATTTTTATAAAAAGAATTATAAAGGATACACATGCCAATAATAACAAATATAGAAACCTAGGTGCCATATTTTACGAAGCAAAACAAATTACATGATAAACGTAAAATAAAACTAGATCTACATCCAAAAAATACAATCTGGCTCTGATACCAATTGTAGGAGCAATTGCATCTACAGAAGCGTATGAGACCATTGTGATTGTTCGTTTATTTTTTTAATAGATAAATAACGAAGTCCGTCCAATAATCAAAAACCTTGTGATAAGAAAAGAAATTAAATATCTTGTAATCATATACACTACAAATTTATCTATTTTCAAACATGCCTTTAGTAACTATTGACTTATTTTTTTGTTTTTTTTTCATAGATCGCTTCCTCTTTTCGCGTAGCCCCAAACTGTATTATTATTATTAATATTAAATGTGAATCTTTTTTCATGTAAAAAAATATATGATATGATAATGTGAAAAATCATAATCATTTCTTTTTTCGCGAAGCCCTAAACACCTTTTACTAACATTCCAGAAAACATATATTTTTCACTGCATTCCGATAATAATTATTTCTTGAACTTTAAAAAATTTCTTCTTTACCAAACACTCCCTTAGTACATTGTTTAGGTTTTTTACGTACCGTGTTATTTGTGGCCCCTATTTTAGGCTCTTCGGTTTGTGCAAGCAAGTGAATCAAAGTCAATTATTTGGCTGAGCCGATTATTTAGAAAATGTTGATTTATATTTGGGTTTGTGCCTTTAGACCTATGTTGTGGAGTGAAAATTTGATCCCTCTTAATTGATGATCCAAATAATACTTAGATAAGCTTCCGCTTAATTGAGAGGATTATGCTATTAATGTTGACTCTGACACTTGAGGGAAAGACGGTCGAAAATTCAAATGTGAGTTCGTTATTGTTGTTTGAGTTTCTTATTAGCTCGATATTAGTAGCCTCCTTTTTTTGGGTTCCTCCCTTTGTTAAATGGTTTTAAGGTTGACCGCTCAAAGTTCTACTGAAAATTGATAACGATGATTACCAAAAGATAACAAATTTTACAATTTATTAATAATTTAAAAGATCATAAATTTCTAAATATTATGTCCCATTGAGTTTGTTTGGATTAGTTCAAAGTAAGTTTAAATCTAAACTAAAAACATCCTACTTTGATTTTCAAGACATGAAATCAATTTGATTAACTTGAATAGATCAGTTATTGGGTTGAGTCAACAAGTCTCTAGCACAATTTTTTTTTCCAAGTCCTATTGTCCAATGTCATATTCCTTTAAGGCCATGCTATTATAATTTTGTAAATCCATCAAGGAATTATGCGAAGTCAAAAAAACATTCAACGTTTTATGAAAACAAATTTATTTTAAGCTAATTTATTTTAACTAATGATTCCAAACAATAAATCTAAACTAATTGTTGAAACTTGAAATTGAAAATTTGAATGTTCTTGAATAGCTCTGCTTTGCCGTGTCGTGCAGTGCTGAGCACGACCCTACAAAACTTCAAGTAAGCTATCAGTGAAGCACAAGTAATCAATCAATTTCCACAATGCATGGCATTTTTTTATTGATTCTTCGGGTCTTCCTTCACGTTTTAAATCATATCATAACCAGTGGCAGAGTAGGATTTAGTTTTGGCTGGAGCCAAAAAATTTGATATATCAAATTATCAAAATATTTTCGTAATTATACAAATATACTAGGAAAAAATTTACTTAAATTTTTTAGAGTAATAGGATTAACGTTATTTTAACAATGGGAGGTTATACTTATAACCTATTTTTGTTTACAACCTCTTACAACTATATCTCAATCGTTGCCGCCAATCAACGATTATCATTTATTACGAATTAATAATTAATTAATAAATTTTATTTGCGAAAATCTTAACCGTTGATTTCGTAAGAGGTTGTAAACAAAAATAGGTGGTAAGTATAACCTTCCCCTTTTAACAAATAATAAATATTTATAAAAATAAATTAGTAAAGAAAGTGCAAATTATATGTATATATACATATATGAAATTTTCATGTGATTTTTACGAACATTTTCATGTGATCTTTATGAACATTATTCCATGTAATGTTAATGAAAATTTATTTCATGTGATGTTAATGAAAATTTATATCATGTGATCTTTGTGAATAATTTTTTTTATCTTTTACATTTTAATTTAGTTTTGGCCTATAAACTTTAGTTTGCAACTTGGTAGGCCTTACAGGTCGTATTAAGTTTTTTATAATAGGTTATGGTAGACCTATAGATCAAGTCTTTAATAGGCTAATAGGCCAGTATAGGCTCTATATATTTTACATAGACTTAGGCTATCAAAGCCAAAAACTGACCTAACTTGGCCCATTTATACCCCTAGTCATGACTTGTAAAGAACATCAACGTAGAGGGACAACAAACTTCACAATTAAAAAGGAACATGGAACAATCAGTGACAAATGTCTAAAATCATTTAAATGACATTGGATCCACATAAATTATTTAATTTTAGATATTTTAAAATTAAAAATAAAATAAAACAAAGAAGTTGTTAATAAATCTGTACAAGAAATTTTCGTACTCCATATATATACATATATCTTCATTGATTTTTCTCTTTAACAGTTTTTACTTATTAATCGCTAAAATTCTTATTCATGTTGTGAAATTAAATACAAATAACACCAAGAAACAATTCAATTCCATTACCAATAATTGTAGCATACATTAAAATATTTTTTTAAAAAAAGGTAAATGTAAAACAGTACTCCATGTTTCAAAAGAAATAAAATTAATAAATACAACCACACAAAAAAAAGTTGTAAATAAAAAGGGGCATGAATTTCAGTCATGTTAAAAACACCCAATAAACAATTATGGTCAGCAAAGACAAATAATTTCTCTTTTATAAGGTTCAAAAATATAAATCAATTTTTTCCCGAATGGACAATATAATTACCAATGCATATTCCAATAACATGTATTCCTAAAATCTTGATAAAGGAACAAAACATCATACTTGTCGCAGAATGACTGAGTTCCGAGTGGTGAGTGCTGAGTAAGAAAAAAAAAGTTAGAAGAAAATCCTAATTGAAAAAAGATGAAAGAAGAAGAAGAAATTAAGAAGAAAACAATATGTTATATGATCATACATGCAAAACAGCTCCAAATCTTTGTCTATTACCGTTGTTACAATTTCAGCTAGGGTCAACTTAGAATTTTAACTAGAACCAATTATAATTACTTATATGATTACATATAATAAACAAAATTTATTAAAATATAGCCGGAACCGGGCCCTACTTAAATATAATGTGGCTAGGCCACTTATCATAACTAAAAAATTGTTTAATTACGGTTAAACTCGCAATTACGTGCCGGTTTATAAGGCCCTTAAAACCAAACTGCAAAACGAGAAGTTAGGCAAGCGTGCATCCACCTTCTACTCGTCAAGTCCAACGTTAGTGCCACTCGACGACAATAACTAACTAAACGAGATCCCCTTCCTTAACTTCGCACCAGCCTCTGTTCCTCGAAGGTTTGTTAGTGCGTCATTACAAGTCATCAGTGATATTCATGTCCCTCGTTCGCTTTCATTCATTTTGCCGGCGAGTGGCGTCAACTCCGTTACTCTATGCCGCCACGTGGACGGTTATCTTAATTATTACCGTGGTGTTGGCGTCGTTGGCTCCCGGCGTGGCCTTTGTGATGGCGGTATCTCCATCTTCATCGCCCTCAAAGCCTTGCCAATATCATGGTGTTGGCTTTGTTAGGATTCCTTTGGATTTTCCGAGAGAGATGGTGTGCTTGCCAGAACATGCGGTGATGAACAGGTCCCACTTTGATTTCTTCTTGCCAACGTTGTTTGCGGCTTTGGTTGTTGCTGCTTCAACTTGCCTGCTTCGTTCTGTGGCCTGTGCGTGATTAATTGGTAGCTTCATACTTATTTCTAAATTCGCTTTTAACGTTATACACTTATATGATCTAAGCTATAGATTGCTCAAAGCTGAAAGGATTCTGCAGTGTGTAACTAATAGGCTATTAAATTCATTCACTGAAAATATTATTAATTGTTATTTGTTTTTTTGTAGATCTGTTATTTTGCCATGAAGTTGCCTACTCAATCTTTGTGCTCTAGCATTTTCCCAGAATTTTTAATATTAATCGAATTTTTATTTCCAAGTAAGATATTATGTTTCTCTCACTCTGGTCCCTGTCTATCTGGGATTTTGTTTTTTGGTTAAGGAATGGATAGAAACTCGTCTTTCAGCCAAAAAATGTAAAAGCAACAGTTGACAGTACTGAAATTTAAAAGTGTGTTTCTTGGTTGAAGAAAATTTTACAGTTGCTTTTTATTGAAATAGAACAATTAACAGACTAGCATAGTAGCATGATAGCCGGGTCAAGTAGCAATTTAAGCTCCAGGAAGAAATGAAACCCAAAAAGAGCATGGATTCGAATTTATGCAATTGCACCTTTTCTTACCTGGGTCCTAGATATAATTATGATAGCCAAGCTGCTAAAATTATTTATGATATACCATTTGATTCAACACGCACAAATTATTTATGACATAATTCCATACATGCTTGTTCAAGTGAGCTTTTATGCTCTGTTTCCGATGGCCCAACGCCATAGTGACCCAGTAGCCTAACCCCAAAAACCGTCCACCCATATCTACGTCAGCCCTACCAACCTATCAGCTTCTCTACCAACAAGACGACGACACTCCCAAGGTCAAACACCGAAATGCCTCATCTTGGGATTCCAACTCCCTGACAGACAGCCTCAAGTACTATAAGTGGTAACTACCCCATCGTCGTACGCTGACATCGCCAGACACGTCGCCAGGCACAAGGGCTGCATCACTGCTATCATAGCAGTGTCAGCCACCCCTAGCTGATCCCAAGGAGAGTTGACCCCTCCTCACCAACCCACACAGGATCAACATTTCTTTCCCCTATAAATACCCCTCTCCACAAACAAAGAGAGGCATCTTATGTATCATTATTGTGCCCATTTACATTGAGTCACGAATACACACACTTCTCCCATTACCATCTGTTTGCATCATATTTGGAACATACCTCCTAGGTTGGTTCCTACCTTTGCTAGAGGTATAACCTATACAACGACTCAATTCTTAAAGGAAACATAGTTGACTTATAGATCCCAACGGTACATGCTCATTTTCTTATCACAAAGAATTATTTTATGTCTCGACCCACTGTTTAAAATTTTTAAAAATCTTTGAAAAACCTTTTTATGTATAATTTTGGGCTTTATGTCTATCCTTTTGTAGAATAGACTTTCATTTTCTCCATAGAGAATAAAATAATCTGACCTAACAAAACTAAATAATGGTAGCTCAGGCTAGAGAACTGAGTAGGTAGAGGTGAGAGCATATGTGTTCGATGTTCGATTCTTCCCAGTACCATCTTTGAGAGAGATTTAAAGCCTTAATCCTGAAACCCGCACCGAATCGAACTAGTCGTAATTATTTAAAAATAAAATAAAATAAAATAATGGGACTCATTATTTAAAAAAAAGGTTAGTAGGAGAAAAAAAACTTTATCTTTTTGCTTTAAAAAATTAACCCCTATAATATTTTTTTCAAAAGTTAAAATCTCTCTCTCTTAAAAAAGGAAAAACACAATTGTGTTTTTCTAGTATGTTATCTTTTTTTTTTGGTAACATGTTATCTTTTTCTTAAAAAAAAAAAACTCTTCCAAATATGTCTAAAAAACTCTTCAAAATAAAACTCATTTAATATCTCACTACTTTCTACATTGGAATTTCCAAATTAATAATAACTCATTCTTTCTGAAATATTTATTTTGAAATTTGAATTTCATTTAAATTTCAATTCTGAATTTGAATTTTGGATTTTGAATTTTAAACTTTGTAATGGTGGGAAAATATTTGGACAATTATTGGTGGCAGACACCTCATTTATTATCCCATTACTTTCTACAAGGGTAACTGTTAACCATATCAATGCTACATAAAAAAAGAAAATTTGTTAAAAAATATTCATTAAAAAAATGAAAATATTCTATAAATAAACGCAAATCTTTTGTGTATAAATAGGATATGTGTTATTGGATTTTTTTCATTTGGTAATGAGTTTCTATGCACATATTTCTTCTCTTATCTGTCTGTTTATCTCATTCATCTTCTCAAATTGTTGTTCAAAATCTCACTATTATTTTAAATTTCGAAATTCAAACTTGATATTTGTGGGAAAAGAGTTCAACATTAATTGGTGGCAAATATTTTTATTTATATCCAACTACATTTTTGAAATTCAAATTTTAAATTGATATAGGTGGAAAAATTGTTCACATAATTTTTCATTTAATTTATTTCCAAATTTCGAATTGATTTTACAATATAAATAATTTTATTATTTCACAATATTTTTTTAATTTTTTTATGCAGCATTAATAGGGCTAAGAATTACCTATGCAAAATATAGTGGAATATACAACAAAAGAAAAGTAGAGGTCTTTTTTACTCATAATATACAACAAAAGAAAAGTAATTGGACATTAAATGAGCTATCTGCCACCAAAAGTTTTCCAAAAATTTTCCCACCATTACAAAGTTAAAAATTCAAATTCAAAATTTAAATTTAAACATAAATTCAAAATTTAAAAGAGTTGAGTTATTATTAATTTAAAAATTCCAATGTAGGAAAAAAATGTGATATTAAATGAGTTGTCTGCCACCAAAAATTGTTCATAATTTTCCAATTGATTTATTTCCAAATTTCGAATTTACTTTACAATATATTAATTTTTTTATTTTACAATATTTTTTTGATGTTTTTGTTTTTTTTTTGCAGCATTAATAGGGCTAACAATTACCCATGTAAAAAATAGTGGGATATACAACAAAAGAAAAGTAGAGGTCTTTTTTACTCATAATATACAACTAGGGATGAAATTGGGCCGAGCCGGCCTACAAGGGCCTACGTCAGGCCAGACCTAACCTAGTATATTTTGTAAATTAGGCCAGATTTGGGCCTTGAAAAAGCTTGTTTAATAAAAAGGCCGTAGGCCCACTTTCACAAGGTCGGACCTATAAGCCTACAGGTCGTCCTATATTGTACTATTTATTTTAAAAAAATAAAATAGAGTAAGTATGCCTTGAAGAAAAAATAACAGATATAAATTTAATCAATTACAATTATTTATAACTTAATTATATTTGATTATATTTTAATAGAAATCTAACTTTATTTCTTATATAGGAGGAACCAACATCTCAACATGTTAGATTATGTATATGAATATATTAAAAGGTTTTTGGGAGAGGTTATACTTACTACAAGCATCATGATGTGTTTGCTGGATTCATGTAGTTATTTTAATTTACATAGTATGGATTTGTTTGTTGGATATGATGAAATATATGTTATTTAGTTTGAACATTTTTGCATTTAAAAATGACTTAAATGCAGATTGTATGAGTTTTGTTATGATTCGTGATTCTGTTTGGACGTTGAAATTATGATTTTTTGTTTAGCAACAGAATTTGAGTATTTTGTAAAGTTGATTCATGGTTCTGCTTGGAAGTTAAAAATTAACAGGCTAACAGGCTTGGGCAGGCCATTTGTTTTTTATAAACGGGCTAAACCAGGCTAACAGTTAGACTCGTACTAAGCTTGGGCCAGGCCAAATTAAAATTTTTTGACGCAGGCTTGGGCTTTTCTTGGCAAAGTTTGGCCCAGCCCAACCCACTTTCACCCTTATATACAACAAAAGAAAAGTAGTGGGACATTAAATGAGCTGCCTGCCACCAAAAGTTTTCCAAAAGCTTTTCCACCATTACAAAGTTAAAAATTTAAATTTAAACATAAATTTGAAATTTAAAATAGTTGAGTTATTATTAATTTGAAAATTTCAATGTAGAAAGAAGTGTGATATTAAATGAGTTGTCTGCCATAAAAAATTATTCACATAATTTTCCATTTGATTTATTTCCAAATTTCAAATTTATTTTACAATATAATAATTTTGTTATTTTACAATAATTTTTTAATGTTTTTGTTTTTTTATGCAGCATTAATAAGACTAACAATTACCCATATAAAAAATAGTGAGATATACAACAAAAGAAAAGTAGAGGTCTTTTTTACTCATAATATACAACAAATAAAAAGTAGTGGGACATTAAATGAGCTGTGTCTGCTACCAAAATTTTTCCCACCATTACAAATTTAAAAATTCAAATTCAAATTCAAAATTCACATTTAAACATAAATCCAAAATTTAAAAGAATTGAGTTATTATTAATTTGGAATTTCTAATGTACAAAGCAGTTGGACATTGAATGAGTTGTCTGCAACCACAAATTGTTCACTTAAATTTCCATTTATTTTATTTCGATTTGTAGATTAAATTTTATATTTTTTAATTTCAACTATTTACTAAAGAAAGAAAGTTTTTAAATGACATGTACTGTGAACATATATATAGACAATAAATTTAAATTTAATTTAAAATATAAATCAAATGAAAAAATATTTAAAATTTTAAAAATATGTGTATAGTTGTTAAAAAATAAAAAATATTAAATTTAAATGCAAAACACAAATAAGAAATGACATATTTATACTTAAAAGAAAATTAAAAAAAATTAACTTAAAAAAATAATACAAAAAGAGAAAAAATTCGAACAAGTATTTAAAAAAAAACAATTAACATAAATATTTTAAATATATATATGTATATCTAATCTAAAACTTACAAATTAAAAGATAAAAAATTATTTTTTTGAATAATATGTATAATTAATAAAAAAATTACTTCTATCATTCGGTAAAAAATAAAATATAAAAATTTAATCACTATAAAAATGAATGACCATTTAGTGATCAATGACTATCCAACTCCTGCATCGTAAAAAGATGTTTGTCA